ACAATGTAATTATCATCTTATTGTTTTGAAAATGTGTTTGACTGCTGGTCTGATGAATGTAGATGCTGCGGTGGCATATAGCGATTCACCTGCGTGTGGGTGCGTGCGAGTGTGTGTGCGTGCATGTGTGTGTATGTGTTTTTGTTTATTAGATTACATAGTGAACTTAAAACATCTTCAGGTGCAAAACATCTTGTCCAATTTCAACCAAATTTGGCAGGATTGTTTCATGGGTGAAGGGCTTCCAGATTTTTTAAAAGAATTCCATAAAGGCCATGAGCATAGATATTTTGCTTAAGGCATATATGGTAGACCATCACCAAGAGTGTTCAAAAAACCTGGGGGTCATAGGTTTTCTTTATATGTAGTATAAACTTGATTTTTTTTCTCCTCTGAATTGACAAAGGCTAGAGGTTAGATATTTGTCATGAAGCATTGTGTAGTGAAACTCTACCAAGATTGTTTAATTTATAGCCCTAGAGTCAAAATTGGCCTCGCCCCTGTGGTCATATATACGAGTAAAATGAAATAAAATAATCTTGTTGTCTGAAGGTCTGAAGGCTTAGCGCTTTGATACTTTGTGTATAATATCATCAGTAGATCCTCTACCACTGTTGTTCAAATGTTGGCACTAGTGAATTTGCCCCAGGGTGTCATAGGTTTTCCTAGTATGTAGTATAGTAAAAACTTAAAAAATCTTTTCCTAAGAATATACAAAGGTTAGACGTTAGATATTTGACATAGAACCTGCACTTCTGTAGACCTAGACCAAGATTCTTCAAATTATAGCCCTAGGGTCAAAATTGGCTCTGCCGGGGGTCATAGGTTTCCTTATATGTATATAGTAAAAAAACTATGGCATGCATTTTTTCCAGTGTGTGTGTGTTTAGCATGTAACTTTTAGTCTTGCTGGATGATACAATTCTACATTTTTATAGACGTTTATAGTAATAAAAATAACACTGAAGACTCTATTTTACTACTCCAATATTGTAAACTGTAGATAATAGACAGGTGTTTCGCAAACTGATTTCTGTAATGCTCTTCATTTTTTCAAATCATATAGTCTAGTATCTTAATTGACAGGCAAAATACAACAACAAAACCTTCTCATTGTCACATTAATATATTGAAAAGAAATAAGCCTAGGTTTGTGTAACTTGTTAGAGACATTGAAAGTAGCCTGAAGATGACCTTTATTGATTTTGAGGTCAGTCGAAATCAATATGGTTTTGTGGTCACAAAAAGAGACCGTAATGTCAACAGAGTCAAGTAATGTATACCTCAGTCATTGCAGTGCTTTGATTTAGAATATAATCCTGAGCACTAAATCTAAGGTCTGGTGGGTTTTTTAATTTATAAACTATATACCAGAAAAAATAAAAACACAATTATATGTATTCATATGAAAATGACGACTCATATGAAAAATCGAGTAAAATGTGTCTTTTTAATACATTCCCGCGTTTTGGGCAAACATAGCATTCGCACAAAAGTTATACCAATAGATGCAAATTAATTTTGAAATAAAATAGTATATATTTCGTGTTATTTGGAGAGTATATTAGACCGTACGTGTGATTATCACGGCACTACTCCCAACTGTGTGATTATAACGAAGCGTGGTAATAAAACAAATTTTACAAATAGTAGTAACTATTTATCATTCGGATAACACTGATTGATTATAAAGTCGTTCGTGTGATTATCACGACACTACCCATAACCGTGCCCTTATTACGCCCTTATTACGCCACCGCATAATAATCCACGCTGCTCACAATACCGAACCACTTTATAAATTGTTAAAACTATTGAACACAGATAAAATTCAAATTGTAAAATTTGTTTTCAGTTGCATGGTGAACGTTGCTCGAATAGTCAGTAGAACCCCATGACCTTAAGTATATTTTAATAACCTTCTCGTCAAAAACTGTGTTTACCATAAAACATTGAACTCCCTTCCCTATAAGGTATGCATTAATATGTTCCAAGTACTAAATATATAAATATAACTTTATATTTGTATACAGTCTAAATAAAAAATACACATGTGAGCAGTTATTTAATGAGGTAGTTTTATAAAGGGGACGTAACTTTGTAAATAATCAATTATATTCAGTTCAATTGTGTCTTATTTGTACATATGTTTTTTACCGTTGCCCATTTATCATCCTAATCAAAACTGTGTTTTGTCTTATACTTAACCTGTTGGATGCGAATATGTGTATACAATGTTTTCAAATGGAATTCACGGTTTGCTGGAAAAAAACAACAACTAAAAACAAAAAATAAAAATGTAATAATTGCCTTCTCCAGTATCTACACCCACAGAGCATTACGCTAAAATATTATGCTAATAAGAGATTTATCAGGTGGTAAAAGATCTAAACGATCAATAATGTGCTTTTATAAAAGAATTATTGTCCGACACCCCTGTTTGTCAATAAATTGATATAAGAAATGGCAAACACTTCAAACGGTATGTTTCGTGTGTTTTTTTTTCAATTCCCTGCAATTATTTCTTTTCAAGATGCTCCTGTATGTTGGATAACAAACATATATGTAAAAAAGAAAGACACTTATTTGACACAATTCATTTAGGAAAACAATATTGTCGTTCTAGTTTGTTTGGTTAAATATAAAACCATGCTGCAATATCAGTAGCTATACCTGATTGCACTTTTATTGATAACCATTATTTAATCAATAACCTACGTTCAAACGCTTTGATTTGTTAAGATAATGTTATTCTAATTAAGAAAAAAATGACACATCAATGATTGTCTATTTACATCCCTTTCAAAATATAACAAACACGCATAGCTATTATCAATATTTAAAATCACATCTGTCTTGCACGAAGTGAAAACACGATCAATATAAAAACTTAGATAAGAAGAACTAAAACTTTAAAAAAAAATATTTATCAGAACATAATTATTCTTATTCATAACGGAAGTTGTCATAATTATTTAAATATCGGTGCAATACATGCTTTTTAAAACACTCCCGTGTGTTAGAAAATTAATTAATTCCCACAAAAAACTATACCATTAGATGCGGAATTCATTTTGAAATAAAATGGTGTATGATATAATTATTTTGGAGTAAATTTAAGACCGTACATGTGATTTTTACGACACTACCCCTAACCTACGCCGCCGCGATATAATCACACGCGTGGTAATATTACCACGCGTGTGATTATATCGCGACATCGGTCCTATTGACAGCTGGTGTTTGAGTCCTACTTTTGCAGCCAGTGCAAGATTCTTATAACATTATCATTAACTTCATTATTATTTTTTTTTACTTCTATAAACTTTGCCATTATAGCCCTTTCATCCTCTGTACAAGTCTTTAAAATCATTCAGGTTTTCTCTTATATTCCCATTTAGTGCACTATTTGTTCATTTTTTTTTCAATAAAATAATGGAGGGGCCCATTACCTTGTTTATGAAAGAGGTATTTCTGCTGATTCTGCTGGGCGCTATAACACGTTATGTGATTATGTGCGGTCTTAATTATCAATGCCGACGTTCTTTTATATAATTATTCTTTATACTGTGTATTACATGATATTGTTCCAGTCTACAGCAATTTATATGTATTATTTCTGTACCCTGGATAATATTAGAAAAGTGCGAAAGAAATGAACAAATAATCTTTTGACATGACGGGACCAAAAAAATATTTTTTCGAAATTGATGTTCTATTTGGTGTTACTGTATACCAATAACATGAGTCTAAAATTTCAGATCATTTGCTCACTCTATTTTTTTCAGAATAATTATTGTATTGTGAAAAATGACCCAAAATTGAATAGTGATGCTACGCTTTTCACCTAAATAAGGCAAAAAATAGCATAATGTGTGATATTCTTTAATGAGTATGTTTCTTGATTATTCTATGCATATCTTTCTGTTTTTAGTAAACCGGCAGATTTTTTTAACAAATTCAAATTTAATATTGCAAGGCTTTTACACCTCGGTGGAATTTAAATGTTATATCAAAATCAATATCAAATCTAATTATTCTCATAGACATTACTAAATATTTTACGAACTGCGCATATCCCTTTTCGAAAGAAACCAAAAACAAACAATTTTAATTTTCAAAAAAGGTATGTAGGGTTTAAAATTACATTTTTTAGAGAAATTATGAAATCATTAAAAGCAGCACGCATTCAGAAGACCGTGGTACTTATATTTCAAAATCTTTTTCAAAGTACATAATAATATGTTTTGACATTTTCGTTTTGAAAACAGACAGTTATATTACTTATGCAATTCTTTTATAGATTCAGGTACCATGTGACAGTGATTGAAAAAGCACTGAATGCCGGGATTTTTCTCTGCAGTATATAACGATAAGATAAAAAATCAGGTTTTATTTTTTAAATAAATGAAGAAATCTGCAAGAAAGAATTTTCATGTTAAACCAAAATACCAGTATTTAATGTTCATTTTTATTTACATTTTACCCTCTAAAGGTGTGCTGCTTTATATGACCATACTTATATCACGTCACTATATTTTTCGACAATTCCTGTTATTCCTTTAAAGCAATGCAGACTGTATTAATTGCCAATATATAATCAGACTGATAGCAATAAAAAATTACTAGCATTACATGACGTTATAACAATAGATAGATAATCAGACTGTACATTCGTACTTAAATTGATATTTTGATTACTGCAAACTTTAATTATTATAAAATGAATTGCAAGTATAAAATTTGATTATCTGATGATTTTTTTTTTACTTTAAAAATTTACGTTTATGTTCCTTCTTTTTCATGATTAGATTTAACAAAACATTTTTAACCAAATACCTTACTTCAAGAACTATCAAATAATATATATGTTTTGATAAAGATCATTACAACCTATGTTATGTCAAACGTGAGCGATTTTAGTGTAAAGAAGAACACAACATCCATCTTATAAGAAATAATATCATGTAACATGCTGAATAAAAGGTTTGATTACTAACCTGAATTTAAATAGTTGACAAAAATTAAGATGATGATCCACCTTGGACCATCCATGATGATTGAAGGGATATTAATTCCACAACACTCAATGCATAGTAAAAGTTCTTATAAAAACAATTAAAAAAGATTAAAAAAAAATATTTGGAAAACGAAAAAATCCGCGGAGTGATTTGTTTCTCTGCTTCCTGCTAGTAGCTAGAGCTGAAACAAACTCATCTGAGAAGAGATATTGAGTCTCTGTTTTCGCCAATCATTAAATGTCAATGTTTGGTATTTCCATGCATAAACATTTATATTTATGTATTCATTGATCAATTGTTTTCCATTACAAGCATTGGCGTTTTCGTTTGTTTTGTAATGTGTTTTATAATTCCATAACTATATGACATTTAGTTATGCTGTTTTGGGATTAAATTGTTTGTCCAATTTGGTAATTGTGGTGTGAACAAAATATACAAATGTAACAGATAAAAGGGTCTCTTTTATGAAACATTCCTAATATCCTGTTGAATAAATTTCGCAAAATATCACATTGCCTATCCCTATAATTAATTCGTTTCCGCTAATTGATATTTGCATAAAGTGATTATAACCTAATATCAAAATGCCAGTGCATGCTAACTTATTATTTATCTGCTTCTATTGCCACTATCATTGTCAGTAAATTTCCGAAGTAATGCCATGATTCATATGTGTACGTCCATTTTTTTGTATGTTTTTCGTCGCACCAACACAGTATAGATCATATGGCGACTTTCCAGTTATAATGATGGTTGAAGGACCTCATGTGCACTTGAGTAGAACCACCAACGTTCCGTTACAAGTTGTATTGAACATGACAGTCAACTAAGCTCTTCTCACATTATAAAAAAAATAGATTATCAGAAAAAAAACTATTTATGCTTATGAAAATGTGTTTGTTGGTTACATTTTTTTTTCGGGGACGGGGAGGTTTTATGTTGCACCAACAAGGTCAAGGTCATATGACAACGTAAAAAAAACTTTCAAAAGCACAAAATGTTAGCCCCTCCCCCTCCAATCACAGAGGAAACGCGCGCAAAAGTTCCTTTAAAGGGATACTCAGGCAAAATAATGGCAAAAATATAAAAATGATTTTTTGTACTCGAATCACCCTAAAATGACATTTCTTAAAGTCCCAACATGAATTTCTGTATAAATTCTATATATTTTGGGTTTGAAGTTTAAATATATCTATATATGTTGAACGAAATTTTGACGCGAACAGAATCACCGAATAGTTTAAAAACAAGTCATGCGATTTGAACAAACACTGGAAGTTACAATAACAAATATTGTGGATATTGTATGATTGAAACAAGTCTAAGTAATTGATTTGACATGTTTTTTAACGTTTCCAGAGTACAGAGTGACAACTATTGTGAAATTTTAGCGCTCTAACCTGACTCACGCGGGTCAAGTTAGGAAAACACCATTTTATTCTTTATATGGAGAAAAGTTTTGTTCCTTTGACTGTTTAGTGTATTCATTTTGAGGACATTTACAGAATAATGAATGAAAATTTCAAAACTAAGAAATGAAAATTTTGCCTGTGTCTCCCTTTAACAAATAATTTTCTTTTTTATTACTTCTTTCTACATCAGTAACATTAATTCACACAAAAACATTCACATTTAGTGCACTA